GAGAGAGAGAGAGAGAGAGAGAGAGAGAGAGAGAGAGAGAGATAGAATATTCAATCACATGATCTTTGTGGCAAACTTAGATAGATATTTTTGAAGATTACATGCCTATTTCAGCTTATAAACCACATCCTAAAGTTGTTTTTGTAAACGCAAAAATCCTTTTGGAAGATTACATATGCCTTTCCTACACGAAAAGAGAAATAATTTAGCCTGCCATGTGCTTCATCCCATACGCATGGGTTCAGCGTTTTCGTAACACATTTTATCATCTTCTGCACACTGTACAACTACGTGTGTATTGTGTTTCACAAGTAATGCCAAAGTCTACGAAAAATGTATCCTAAAAAATATTTAATCCAAATCTTTTATTTACGTTTACTTTCGTTATCAAAAAACATAGATAATATTCTAAGAACATAACAGTAATAGGATATGTTCTATAATGTATGTGTCGTATCTAATCTTTATAATGGAGTTCTTGGGAAAATGTCTCATTTTATGCTTTGAGTTTTCATGAGAATGAGTCGATTTTCTAGGAAAGGAAATTGTAAAGAAAGTCAGGCGACTGGCGAAAAGTTTAACAATAATTGGTAGAAAATTTAGGAGGAAAAAAATCCGGATAAAAATATCCGGATAAATTTTGGTAATGATGATGTAATGGCTTGTAAAAGGCATTATATAAGCAGAATATTTGCGAAAAGGAGTTGAATTGCAATAATCAAACGCCCAGGACCAGAATGAAAATTAAAACGTTGTAAATACAAGTTCCTGGGAATAATTTGTAATTAGATCACCTTAGGTTTGTAAAATAAAATTTATACTATTTTAAAAATCGCAATTTAACGATATGAACTTGATCGCAAAAGGAGTCGAATAAAAAAAAACGTAAACCGGGTATACAGATGTACTCTATATAATATATAGTATACTATATGAGCTGAATACATTATATATTATATATTATATATATATATATATATATATATATGAGCTGTATACTGTATATTCTAATATTATGTATGTATGTATGTATGTATATATGATGGTAGTGTAAACTGGGCATAATATTTAGTGTATGCAGCATATATATAAAATATGCAATGACTTTCTAGTCAAAATTTTGGCGTCATACTTATTATTTGATTAGATGGACAGATGGACAGACTGAAAAGTTGATTAAGTTTACTTAAAACCATATGCACTCTCTATTAGGTCTCTCGTACACATTGCTAATCGCATTGTGTTTGTGTTTAATAAATTTTAGCTATGAAAGAAAAACTTAAGCAAGAAACTTAATTGGGCCCGTTCTTAAAATGCATATAGCAGGTCCTGTAGTTTATTAATTAATTTACAAATGTTTGATTTTGTTACAAATTGATTGGGCAGTGTTAACAAATTTTTGTAAATTTTAAGAAACAATTTGAAAAACTGCGACATCAAAGTCAATGGTGCAATGACTTGTTTCGTTCATGTTCAATTTTTCATAAGATTTGTTCTTTTTTTATTTCATTTTTTTTTTTTGCTTTTTTTTTTTTTTTGTTTCTTTTTGTTTTTTTTTTGTTTTGTTTTCTGCTCTTTTTTGTTTTTCTTCTGACAGCATTATTATATTGCATTAAGTTATTTGCATTTGCGGTCCATTATGCATACCAGCGATTGTCTGTGTGTGCATATTATAGTGCAGTACGATACAAAGAGTTTTATAAACAAAATTTTGTCCCAGTCCGCACTAGTGCCAGAAAACCATAAATATGCAAAGAGACCATAAATTGTGTGGTGCAAGTAGTTTTTTTTCTTTCTATTTTTTATTTTTTATTTTTTATTTTTATTTATTTATTTTTTCTTTATAACAAGACAACATTAAGTGTGCGGTAAACATCTATTAGCCCTGGCCTCAGGAATGGTTTTACGTTTTGCTTTTCGTAATAATACATTGTTTTTGTTATTGTGTTATTTGGTCATTGGCGTTGTGCATATGCGGTAAATAATTTTATGCGCGCTTTGCCCTACAGAAGCTGTGGATTTTCATTATTCTCTCTTTTTATTTCTCGTTTTGTTCAATTTTAAAATTTTTCCTACTTTTTTTTTTTTTTTTTTCTTAATATTCTTCAATTATTTTCTACAGCAGTATTGTTGTCTGTTACTGTTTCTTTTCATTTGGGCTAATTGCTGATCATTTTGGTTTTCAGTTGTGTTTTACTGGTTATTTTTCCTCGAACACTTGCACTTGATTTTTCGGTGTATGCTGAGTATTCACATTTAATTTCTAATAAACATTAGTGAAGGTTGAGTTGGTTTCATTTTTTATTTCTTCAATTTGTTTTTTCTGCAAATGGCACTTTTCTGCTCCACGCAATTATCCAAATTCGGTAAATAAAGTCAAAGTAAAAAATTTCTTAAATTAATTTAAAAATATTCATTACTTAAGGAATATGTTTACACACACACACACACATCTCTTTTTTATGTGTATGTATGTATATATAATATTAAATATTTTGTGATTGTAGTTGTGAATTGCTGCAA